CCGATCTTATACACACACACATCAAAAAGAAAAAAAAAATGCAGAGTTCTTCTTTCTCTAGTCACTTAAGTGTCATTCGAGATGAAGTCTGATGCATGGTTTTAAGCGAGAAAGAAGTGAAGAATCCTACATCGATTATGATTCAATTGTTGCTTTTCTTTACATTACTTCGCAACTCGCTCCTTCAACTTCAAACACTGCTTTCGACATTCCTATTTTCTATTTATTTTTCATGAAATGCATGGCCTAATTTTCTAAAAATCATAGCTAAGCCTCCAAGTATATACACGTTTTATTCAGTCTTTACTATTTTTTAAATTTTCACAATACTTACTATATCTTTTTTTTTTTTTGTTAATCAACTCATTTTTTTACCCTAACAATCTTCATTTAAAAATAAAAGTATTTATTAACAATTGTAGTAAATAAACTATTGAGAGAAGGAGGGAAAAAGGCCAAATTAAGAGAGGAAATAAAATTAATAGACTAAGATTCAAAATAATGTTAGTAAATAGACTATTTTAGTGTAAATTCAGAGTTACACCTAAATAAAATTACAAAATTAGCCTTAATTAAGTACAACATTTTCACACCTTTTATTTTTTTTCTTCTCGTACCAAAATAAATCCTAACACTCGTTCTCTTCTCTCTCTCTTTAAAAAACAAGCACAAGTTCTCTCTCTCTCTCTCTTCAACTACCGATCTATACCACGACGTCTCATGACATTGAATCCTCTCAACGGCGATCGAAAACCAATGGCCTTGCACCACAAAAAGTATCGAGTCCGTCTTCTTTAATCTACGGTTTTGTCTTCTCTATATGGCGATTCTGTCATCGCTAGCCGCTGCGTCGTTGATCCTACCACTCATTGTCCACTTCGACCGCGCCATCCCTCGTGATAAAGATTGTCCTGACGAGAAAGCGTCTAGATCTTCAACGGCGAGAAGCTTCATCACAGGTCAAAGAAAGAGGTAGAGAGAGGTCGACGGAGGAGATATCTGAGAGAGACGAGAGAACCGGAGGAGAGAGAGAGCAGGGGAGAGAAAAGGTCATCAGAGGGAGGGGAGTTCAGGAGAGAGAGAGTGACAGGGAGAGACCAGAGAGAGAGACGATGAAGACTAGAGTGAGAAAAAGAGAGAAGAGAGAAGATTCAACATAAAAGGAAAAAATAATAAAAAAGCTGACACTTATATTATACATACAGCCGGGCATAACCTATGATCCATAAACTGATAGGTTACACCCGCAGTCGACCATAACCTAACATGTTATGATCCATAACCTGATAGGTTGTACCGGCCGCCGGTGGGTCTCCGGCCGGCCGCCAGCCATAACCTGACAGATTACACCGACTGTTGGCCATAATCTATCAGTTTATGATCCGTAACTTGACAAATTACACCGACGCTGACCATAATCTATTATATTATAATCCATAACCTAACAGATTACGCTGATCGCTAGCCTCCGGTCACGGGCGCCACTCATAGTTCTATAGAAGAAACGAGTAAATTTAGAAATGAAAAATTAGAAATACAGAATGACCTATTAATTTTCATAAGTTGGTAAATTGACCTATTTACCTTCATAACTTCTAAATTTTCGCTTATTTCCTACCATTTCCCTAAACTATTTACTACCATATAACCTAGGTTATTTCCGTTATCTGCCATTTCTCTTTTTTTGATTATGGAGAAAATAAAAGCTTCTTCAACCAAAGGAATGCATTTGTCGATCAATGAGTCAACACAACAGTTCTCCATTCTTATTGGTTGGAACACCCAGCAATATTATAGGATATTTGATGGATAGTTACAAAAATCCCCCAAAGACAAAGAACTGGGTGCAACTGCACAATTGGAGAAAAAGATACCAAAGAAAAGGACATTTGCTTTATAATTAGAGAGATCATGCTTGGTTAAGTGCTCCGCCGTGATAATGATACATTAGCCACTTTCTTAGGTCTATATTTGAGGCTTCATGTGAGCCATAAACTTCTTGTGACAAAAAGAAAAAAAAAAAGGAAAGAAAGAAAAAAGTCAACAATAACCCAACAGCAGCATAGTAGACTTGTCATGTCTCCCTCCAAGGAAAAAGATAAAAGAAAGAAAAGATAATAAAGTGACACCACCAGATATTTAAAATGTGGTGAACGCAACATGTGAGCAATAATTTCAAAAATATCTAGATTTGGTATTTACAGATGCTATACGATAGATTAGTGGTGAGTCAATCAATTTGATGGGAGAATTTGGCAACTAAATGCCCCAATTGTGAAAATACACTGTCTATGTATATGCTGTGGGTAAAATGTCTCTGGATGTCAAACGTCCACAATTAGGCAACTGTATTTCCTAAATGCTGACGACAATTGTGCACTGTAAGTTCACCTTTGCAGCTATACTTGAGCAACAAGTTTGTAAGTTATATACAAGCGGGCTCCATCTTTGATCATATATGTTGTTCTACGAAATATCACCTACATATATTAGGCCTAACCGCGGTAACTCCTTCTAGAACTAGGCATTGGCACTGGCTCATCTGTTGCATCAAATGGAAATTAACATAAAGAAAAGGTCATGAAAACATATACATATGTTCCCCAAGAAGACAAATATTGAATACGTATGCTTATAAATATCAAGACGTGCATGTACATACCGATATGATTGTAAGAGCGATTAAGCTATGAAAGAAGCCATATAGATAAAGCTAAGGGACTTATTGCTGTTGTGTGTGAGCATAAGGTTTTAAATGTGAATAATAGATAGCAGCGTCAAATCTATTTACCATCGCCATCTACGTCATCTCCATTTTGACTCGTAAAGAATGGTGTAAGGTAGTTGCGGTCCAATGCTGAAAACGATGTCGTGCTGCAAACATGAGAGGGTAGACAGAAAAATTATTTGCCAAGGAAATTAATTAAAAAGAAAAAACTCTCGCGACAGAATGTATAACTGTGTATGGTCCAGATGCTACCTCTTGTGGAACTCCTTAAGTTTCATCTTTATCCTGCTCCCTGAGGATGGTTCCTCATCGTAAGGAGGAGCATGATACCCATGGTTCCCTTCATAATTCTGGGTAGATGGAGCGAGATACCCATTGTTCCCTTCAAAATTCTGGGACAAAGAAAAGCAGCAAAACAGTTGATAAGTAACTACTATATTTTGCTTGTGACTGCTTTCTTATACACCAAAGGATACAAACCAACCAGATTTATTTGTCTTTGCTTATAATAGGCTACCATCCATGATTAACTCCAATATATTAACAATTTACCAACTGCCCAGCACTAAAATTCTGTTTTTCAGACACAAATAAATCTACAGCCAAAAAAAACCTGTCCTCCATTACACCATTCAAAACTTCTACTAAATCTATAACACTATCCTGGATAGAAAAGAATCTTTAACTGGCGGATCTAACGAGCTTACCAATTACCACCAAGTAACCATACAATAGTAGTAAGGATATAAATACCTATCTATAACAAATCTAAAATTCACATCTTTTTGGAATACTTACATCACCTAATGGTAATGGACCATCATGGCCATCACCTACAACTTGCAAAGCTTCAAGCATGGTGCCTGTTGAGCCTCCAATCAATAACACCTGAGCCATTGTCAGACAATAACATGTAAACCACAAGAATTATGAGGATAAGATGCCTTTAAAAATATAGCCTAATGGGAACAGACACCATCTACCGTCAAAACAACTATGGCAGTGGTTGCAGTGAATATGGTTTGGCCATGTCCTTCTGGAAGATCGTGAACTGATTGCAGAGCAAGGGCAAAAGCCATAGCCCCTCGGAGTCCTACTCAAGCAAGAAACTATAATGAGGCAATATCATGAATTCAAAATTCCATACAATCTGTAAAGAAAACTCTTTCTTACCACTGTACCAAAGGGCTTTCTGATGTTTTAAAGGTATTTGTCTATGTGCCGGTCTAACCAAATTGACCAAGTATGCACATGAGAAGACATTTGCTGCCCTACAAACAATCACAGACCAAATTGATTTATAGTTTCCCAGAAAAAGACAGAGACTTATTATGGAGCTTCTTAATATTGAAGACTCAAAATAAATGAAAAAAATCTGTCAAAGGTAAGATTTGCCGGCAAAGTCTTGTAACTTGTAATTTAGTAAATGCATAACACGTACCTTGCAACTATGATAAATATCTAGAGAAATTATAAATCCAGTTAGGGAAAAACGGGAAGGTTCTATTGACAGAGGATAACTATAACTTTAAATGTAGGCAGATGATGCAAGGATACAATTGAGAAAAAGATGAATCCAACATGTGACCAGCTATGCTGTTCCATGGCGATATCGAAGCCCATGTATATAAAACTGCAAGTCCCAAAAAAAAAAAAAAGGACAGGTATAAAGGTGTAATGAGTACATAAATTTTAATCACAAGATTATGATAAGAAAGCAGTAAATTCACTTACACAAATGTCTCTGCGAGTGATGATATCAAATGAAAAAAGGCAGAGACAAATCGTTGAGAATTTTCCGACAAGTTTGAGTACGAGTAATGCTTCATGACCTATTTCAGATCACTGACATTATTGTACCACTGCTGCAACATAAAGTAAGTAATAACACATGACAACTATGTACTTCCACTTACAATTCCTGTGAACAATATTGACACAATACCAGAGAGGCTAAGACCTTCTGCAAGCATGTACCTAAAGAAATAGTTTTATTCTTATGTTAAACTGCATGCAAGACAAGCCCTAACGTAAAAAAGAAATTCATAATGCACGAAAAATTAATGGCAAAGGAAAGCCCTTACGAGAAATATGGAAAAAGAACAAATAGACAACACTCCAAGTTCTGCAGGCTGAACAACGACAAAGATGAAGGATGTTAGGCTCTGAAAATTTTCAGATACACACAAAATTAACAAAACTATGGCAGCAAAATTGCTATGTGAATGAGTACTCACTTGTCAATGTCTAACCCTGCATACTTAAAAAGGTACTGAGAATTAAGGTTTCACATGGAACTTTCCAAATAAAAACTTATTGAGAGTAAGAGACAGGCCAAATAAAAGAGTGATTGATCAAAAGGATATCAAAGCAGAAATAAATGCAACGCCAACACCTGCAGAGCAATACGTAATGCATGTTAGTAGACGTCTTTAAAAAATTACATATGTTATGAAGGCAAGTAAATCAAATGCCAACACCTGCAAAAGAAATATGCAGTGCAAATAATGCTATCTCCCATAAACACAAGTACATATTATAATTGACACAACAGTTACGTTGAAGTCAAACTTGATTTGAAAATGGATAAACCCTATAAGAATTTAAAGAAAACTAAAAAGTGACCTGCAGACATCGATCCAACGAAGGTCTCAAGAAACCTGACAATCACCATGAAGAAGTTTTCTCCTGATGATAAATGACTTTTTACCATTGACATTGTCCTGCATAGAAGAATAGTACTTGAGTTAGAACTAAAACACAAAACCATTCTAACAGTCGTAAAAAAGTAAAATTTTTAGTCAATATACCTGTACAATGAAATTGCCATCTACCAGACCGTGCAATAACGTTCATAAACAATACCAAGTAGACACAATCAGTATTTAAAAGAAAAGAATCAATAGATACAAAAAATCAAAAGAAATAGATTATAAAGTAACGTCGCAGTAAAATCTTACAGCATCATTCAAGACGGATTCCCCAAAAACCAAGGCATATAGGTTCATATCCGTGCCGAGTTCCTAGTATACCATTTAATTTGGTATGCATTTTAGTATAGTAATTGTGAGATTAAGAAAGAGAAAAAAGAAAATCAGAGCACAAAAAACCTGAAATATAGACAAAACAGTGACCGGATCAGTCGCTGATATAAGAGCACCAAACATTAGACACTCCACAAACGGAAGCTTATACATGAGGAACACCAGACCACCAAGGTAACTGCACCAGAAAATAGTAACAAAAAGAAACAACTTAGAGGAGAACCCTTCAAGACTAAATTAATTTTTTCTTTTCTTTTTTCCGCAATTGAAAAGGAAGACAAAGGCGATTGTGTGAATGAAGAAAGCTTACACTAAAACGCCAGTAACAATTGAGGCTATAAAAGTTCCTAGGATGGCAAATGTGACAATGGCTCCAAAATTTGAGAAGAAAGGTTTCTACAAAGACGAAATCCCATTATGCAAATCGCATTAGAAGGCAGGTAAGCTAAATTAGAATGCACAAAACAAGCAAAGATCACGAAAGTGCCCCAAGACTTACAGGTGGAAGACTGAATCCTGACTGAGTAAGAGCTAGTGTGTCAAAGAAAACCACTTTGTAGTAGCAAAATTCGCCAGTTTAAGTATCAAAACTTTAACATAAAAATAATAATAAAAAAAAAGCTCTAACGAGAAATTTTAAACAAAAGAAAAAAAAATCGAATGGTTTGGATTGGATATAATATGATTGGAGGTAAGAGAAACAGGAAGAAAAACTCCTCGTGAAAATTGAACCATGATCTGCACAATTTAGCAGCAGAAGAAAATTTTCTAGTCAGCTCAAAATCAATCCATTTCCGGTATGAAACAAAAAAAAAAATAATTAAGGAAATGGAAAAAGTGGGTTTATGATTATAGATTAATGCAAAAAAGACCTGATGCTATTTTCAGTATTTGAGATGTTAGCAAGTCCACCAACAATTAAACCTGCCACAGAAATAATAATGTAAAATCCAAATTCGCATTTTTCTAAAACAAACTGCTAATTAATAGCCCTAATTACTAATAAGAGCTAGGTTAGTCGAATAAATACCTATCAAAAGGGAAGCACTGGCCTCTGGAAGATAATAGAATTTGTGACGGCGGAGAACGTGGCCGAGGACGAAGGAGAGGACAAGCATCATGATCTGCAGAAGAATCCCGACGCCGGCGGCTTGCTGCTCCTTTCCCGGCGTGGGTGTCGGAATAGAGCTTCCGTTAGAGTCCGACGGCGATATTCGCAGCCCCATCAACTGAGCGTCCTCAACCGCCATTGTCGGTCCTCGAAGCTATCGACGACCACTTCGAATCCTAAGCACCTCGATCGCCGATTAATTCCAGCTTCCGGTGCCGGTTTTTCGGGTTGGGTACCTCGTTTTTCTGTGTGTGCGGAGCGTTTTTCTTGTTTTCTTCGCAAACCGCTCGGTTTCCCACGGGAAGAAAAGTGATTAAAATGGGTGTGGGTCAAAGTGGGACAAAATTTACTTTTCAGCAAAGCGCATTTTTCCTTAGTTCTGATCGTCTGCTAAATTCCAAATGTTGATTGTCTATTCGGGGGAAAATGCCCTTGTTTGACACGTGAAAAGGATTAATTCTTACCCTTCTAAAAAAGAATTAATTCTTAAGAAAATATATTCGAGATATGATTCCGGTTGCCAATTTTAATTAACGGAAATACCCCAAGAATTCTGTCTAAATGCACCCAAATTACTCTTAAAATTTTGCATTTTGAACCTAATTGCTTGCCTTCCAATATCTATTTTTTTTAGAATGCTTGGCTTCCATTATTGATCGAACTATATTGCCAATGATCCTTAAATTGAAGGTTCTAATTGTTAAAATTAAGGCATCGTTCGCTTCGCAGATTTAAGTTTTCAATTTGAGTTGAGATGTGACATTTTTTAAAAATTTTTAACTGCAATAAAAAAAATTAAATGTGATATTTTCTGAGAACTTTTAACGTAAAAACTTATAATTGAAAACTCGAATTAGTAAAATGAACAAAATCTAAAAGTTCGGAGTGTTAATTTACAAATTACAACAAGTTTAGGGTGATGGGTACAATTTACCCAAAAATACACACATTTTTTATTTTGAAAAGAGTACAATATTTATTTTCATTCAAGCAAAACGAATATTATAACCGTAAATTAATATAAAAAAACATTTATTATAATAAACGAAACAGTCAAATTATTGTTTTGATTAAAGAATAGAGAAGAATCCATCGTACAGTTCTTGCAAAGAATATAAACTATAACTCCATAATAAATTATCAGTTGTTAATCTTTGTTTTTGCTTAAAATCTTAAGGAATGGCTTTTTAAAGCTACTTTATCACAAAAGCATATAAAAAGCGCTAAAACATAATATGAAAACCACTACTAGATTAATATTTAAGTGGATGAAACTCGTCATCATTATAATCGAGATCCAGACGGACATATTTTTTATTTATGATATAAAGATCAAAACTATAAATGGATAAAGAGGAAGGAAAAAAAAAACCATGAGATATGTACTATTTTACTATTTTCTTTCTTTTAATTTTGAGATGTAACAAGAATCACATTTGCTACCCATTTATGTATGCTCATTTATTTGTTTAACAAGAATCTCATCCTCTATCCATTTATATGCTGTTATTTATTTCTTTGTTTATTGACAATGGAGGTTAATTTTCTACTTAACTAAAGTTTCGTTCATTTCACCTATTTGAGTTTTCAATTCTAGTTTTGTTACAGTTAAAAGCTCTCACAAAAAGTCACATATAACTTTTCTGCTATAGTAAAAAACTCTCACATAAAATCACATTTCAACTGAAATTAAAAATTCGAATTTGCGAACTGAACGATGCCTAAATTTAAAGCTGAAGGTGCTCCTTAGGTAGGGGAATTTATCAAGCATTTAAAGGTTCTCTCAGTTAATTCGAAGTTGCAAAGAATAATGGGTAAGGTTCTAGCCACAATATTCCTAGCAATTTTTTTTTTTTTCAAAAAAATAAAAGGTTCTACCAAACATGAAAAAAAAATTATATAAAAAAAAGAATAACAGGTAAGTGTTGTATAATTGCCTTTCATTTTATGTCATTAATAATAAATTAACTACTTAGAACTCATTGAGTTGATTAGTTTATAACAATAAGGTTTTAAGTTTGAATCCACATGCAAATTATTGAAAAAAATAAAATCATCTTAATATGATTCCTAGAAAACGCACACTGCTCAAATATCCCATCCCACCATAAAATGACCAATTTATGAAACTTTTATTACAAGTATATGCTAATGATATTTTAGAATTCATAGATACAATGATATATGACCTTAAACCATTTACAATCATTTGTAGCTTTTGTTATTGTTATCATAATTTTTCAAAACCACAGTTTTTGCTTGTACATCATACTTGTGACTTGTTACATCGCATTACGTTTGACAAATACATGTTATTATTGTTTTTTTTTTCTACTGCAAATAAAGTAATATGTTTTTGGCCAATATATGTTATTTGTAGGTTTTTTTTTTGACCTTTTTAAGTAAGTTATGTTTTTTTATCCATTAAATTTATATAAAATCACGTAAAAATTAAAAGGTACATAAATTTAACGGTTAAAAAAAATTGACCTATTAATACACCATGCGTACGAAAAAATCACTTTTTTTATTATGATATTTGTTGTTTATGCTTAGTCAATTATTCTCTTGGTGTGAAATGGACCGTGGAAATAATGGAAAAGAAAATGGAGAAGTCAAGAGTCAGAACAACACAGTTATACATTTTTATTCCAACAAATTACTTCACGGCTTCACTTATAGGCTACAGTATACATTTTTTCCAAGTCAACTTATCTTCCATGAATCCATGTCCGAGTCATCAAACACTTTGTCTGAACAAACGGCACAAAGACAAAACAAAATGCGCGCTTATGATTCAATTCAGTGCCATTGAAGACGACGATTAATCACTTTTACGTATTTTTCAGATGAAAGGTTCCAAACTCTCTGTCCTCTTCCAGCTGATCTTGATCCTGCTCGTAAAACCAACATTCCAACGACGATTTGTCCAAAGCGCCTGCAACAAAAACGACAGAGATTCCTCCGAGAATTCTCTCTCAACTTATCCTCATCGGCTAAAGCGCTCAACTGGGCAGATTGCTGCCTTTGGGAAGGAGTTTACTGCGACGTTGTCGGTGGTGGTGGCGACCGTGTAACGCGTCTATGGCTTCCTTTCAGAGGCCTCCGAGCAATATCTCGCCATCTTTCACAAACCTCACTTATCTAGCCCAACTCAATCTGTCACATAATTCCCTCTCTGGTTCTCTCCCTTCTGATTTCTTTTCGTTGCTTAATCGACTTGAGGTCCTTGACTTGGCTATAACCGACTTCAGGGCAATTTGACAACATTTTAATTTAAGCCAGAACAACAGCTTTCTCAAGATGATTGACTTGTCGAGCAATTTGTTTGAAGGAGTAATTCCAACTTCGTTGTTCCAGCCAGCGATGGCTGCAGGGACTCTCACCAGCTTCAATATTAGCAACAACAGTTTTTTCTGGTTCCATTCCCGTATTTTGCAACAATGGCAATACCAGTGCTTCTTCCCTTAGGCTGTTGGACTTCTCCTACAATGAATTTACCGGAGAAATTCATCGGAGAATCGGAAGTTGTTCGAAGCTTGAGGAGTTCCGTGCAGGCTTCAACAATCTTTATGGACCGATCCCGGACGAAATATACAGCATCGTGACGTTGGAACATATCTCTCTGCCTGTGAATCGCCTCGCCGGGCCCATCGGAGACGGCGTTGGTCAGTTGAGCAAGCTCCGGATTCTTGAGCTCTACTCCAACCAACTCAACGGTTCAATTCCGGAGGATATTGGGAAGCTCGCAAGTTTAGAGAAATTGCTTCTTCACATCAATAACTTCACTGGGTTCATGCCTTCATCTCTGATGAAGTGCACCAATCTGTCGACGCTGAATCTGCGGGTCAACTCTCTGGTGGGCAATCTTTCTGGCTTCGATTTCTCTGCGCTTCAAAGGCTTGCCACTTTAGACCTCGGAAACAACTTCACAGGTGAGACACCCTCGAGCCTTTACACTTGTAAGTCGTTGACAGCAATTAGACTCGCAGCAAATCGACTAAAAGGTCAGGTCTTGCCAGAGATACTTGATTTAAAATCACTCTCTTTTCTCTCAATCTCCAACAATACCCTTACCAACATTACCGGGGCACTTAACATTCTGAAGACCAGTAAGACTTTGACCAATTTGGTTCTGTCTAAAAACTTCATGAATGAAGCCATGCCCGAGGATGAGAGCATTATAGGCCCTGATGGGTTCCAAAATATTCAAGTTCTTGGTTTGGGTGGTTGCTTATTATCTGGTAGAGTACCCACTTGGCTCGCCAAGCTTAAGATGCTTCAGGTTTCGGATTTGTCTGTTAATCTCTTAACCGGTCCTATTCCTGGTTGGTTGGGGAGTCTTCCGGGCCTGTTCTACTTAGACTTGTCTAGGAATCCCATTTCTGGTGAATTTCAAAAGGAGCTCTGTGGGCTTCCAGCTTTGACATCAGGAGTGTCTGATCAGGTGAACCGGAGTTATCTGGAGTTGCCTGTGTTTGTGATGCCCAATAATGCTACAAATCAGCAATACAATGGGCTCTCAAATCTTGCTCCTGCTATACACTTGGGTAACAACAACCTCAGTGGCAATATACCAGAGGAGATTGGCCAACTGAAGTTTCTCCATGTGTTGGAACTCAACAACAACAACTTCTCTGGCAGCATACCGGATCAAATGCCTAGCCTCACTAACTTGGAAAAATTGGACCTGTCCAGAAACCATCTAACTGATGAAATCCCTGCTTCACTAAAAGGTCTGCATTTCTTGTTATATTTCAGTGTGGCATACAATGATCTCCAGGGTATTGTTCCATCTGGAGGTCAGTTTGATACTTTTCCGAGCTCCAACTTTGATGGAAACCGGGGGTTGTGTGGTTGTCCAGCTTTGCAATGCGCTTGCTCAAAACCAAGGCCTCAAGATCAACAACCAGCTACAACCCAGGGAATATCAAGAAAGAACGTGGTTAAACTCATAATTGGGATATATCTTGGCACCGGATTTATTGTCACCAGATTTTGTCACGGGAAACCGAACGGATCAATTTGAACACAGTTTTTAGCAATTCCAACACTTCAGTAGTTGCTCCTGAGGCCGGGGTAGTCACATTGTTTCCAAATGACTCCAATGGAATCAAGAACCATACCATATCTGAAGTCTTGAAAGCAACTGACAACTTCAGTGAAGCAAACATCATAGGTTGTGGGAGTTTCAGCTTGGTCTACAAGGCAACTTTTGCAAATGGGTCCTAACTGGCGATTAAAAAACTCCTAGGAGACTTTGGTCCAATGGAAAGCGACTTAAAGGCAGCAGTAGAGGCTCTCTCTAAATACCAACATGAGGACTTGCTCTCTCTTCAATGTTACTTTGTCTACAACGGCTTTTGGCTCGGCTCTGTTCATTTCACTGATTCAAGTTTAGAATTTGAGTTTTACTACGGTAAAAAACTCTAAAAAATAGTTATATCTAACTTTTTGACTACAGTAAAAAGCTCACACATAAAGTCACATCTCAACTCAAATTAAAAACTCGAATAAGCAAACTAAACGGGCCCTTAATATATCTTTACATAGAAAACGGAGGTCTAGATTTCTTGTTGCATGAGAAGGCCAATGAGGCATCAAAATTAGACTGGCCTACTCGGCTAAGGATCGCAAGAGGGGCAAGTTGTTGGTTAGCTTACATCCAACAGACAAGTACTAACCCACACATTGTTCATCCCAATCTCAAGTCTAGCAAAATCCTGCTCAATGAAAAGTTCGAACCGCGTTTGTTGGATTTTGGATTCTCCCAGTAGGTTCTTGCCAACGAGAGGGGTGATTTTGCAATTGAGCCTTTTAGGAATACAATGAGTGACATTCCCTCCAACGACATGCGCAACATAAAAGCCACTTTGAGAGGAGAGGTGTATAGTTTTGGGGTCGTGATGCTTGAGCTGCTGACAGGGAAGACCAGTGGTGGTTTTCAAGCCAAATATGGCAAGAGAGTTGGCCCCGTCGAGTTTAAAATTCAAGTTTGGTTACAATAAAAAATTCTCAAAAATAGTCACATTTAACTTTTTTACGACAGTAAAAAGCTCTCATATAAAATCACACCTCAATTCAAATCAGCGAACTAAACGGATCATTTAAAAAATTCTCAGAAACAGTCACATTTAACTTTTTTACTAAAGTAAAAGACTTCCACATAAAATTATATTTCAACTCAAATTAAAAACTCGAATCAGCGAGCTAAACGGACCATTGTTCACTTCGTTACAGCAAATGAACAGCCAAGGAAAAGAAGACCAAGCGTTTGACCCTCTTTTGAGAGGGAAAGACTTTGACGATGAGATGCTACAGGTGCTAGATTTGGCCTGCATTTGTGAGCATCAGAACGTTTTATTGAGACCAACGATTGGAGAAGTTGTTGAGCGGCTAAATAATGTTGGGATAAATGAGCCAACAGTATTATTATGAACATTATTGATGAAATGACTGTTTACATATTGAAAAATTTACTTATAATGAGGGGGAAAAAAAAGAAAAAGAAATTTCCGCCAACTGTTTTGGAAAGTTTGAACCCTCCCATTCACTTCTCCAAATCAGTGAAAGACTTTCATTATTTATTTATTTATTTTTATATAGTTCCATCTCTACTTCCCTTCACATAATGTGAATCCAAACTTATTATTTAGAAAGATGTACCCGAGATAACAAATTTGGGAAGCTTCCTTCTAGTTGGTATAAGGTAAATAAAATAGAAATAGAAAGAAAAAAAACAAAAAAGAAAAAAGCATCGTTTGTTTGTTTCACGATATACAATGATATTGACTTTGCATTAGTTAAAACTATCATTTGATTTGCGAAAAAGCTAATCAAATATTAGAATCTATCCTCAATAAACCTTTAAAAATTTGTTTAATAATGTCCAATAAATTGATGTTTATCTATGATTAGAAATTAAAATACTATAGTGTTACAAGCACTATGGGATGGGTATTTAGTGACCATGAGTATTTAATAATGGGAGAAAAAAGAAAATAGACTAAGACTTGAGATGAATTAAAATTAATAGGTAAATAATTTACATAAGTTAATAAATAGGCCACATTACTGTTTTCGTCCATAATTTATCTAGTTATGAACCATAACTTGACAAGTTATTGTCCATAATTGTTTATAACTTGTCTGGCTATGAACCATAACTTGACAAGTTTGTCCATAACTTATCTGGTTATGAATCATAACTTGACAAGTTATGACCTATTAATTTATATAACTAAAAATTGACCTATATACTTTCATAAACTTTTCATATTGTCATATTTTATACTATTTCCCTTTAATAATGTCCAATTAGACAGCAATACTCTTGATGCCTATTACACACACACACACAAGTGTCCAAGATCAAAAGGGAACTCAGAACAAAACTTGATTTCAAAAAAGCAATTAAAAAAATCTATGACCCAAGAACCAGTGATCAACAAACAACAACAAAGAACTGTTATACCAGAGTATTTCTGATACAAATGTCTCTTACATATTTTATTAATATTCCACACAGTGCCCACTAATGAATTTCTTTCAATAGTTCACTAACTTCTCAACCGGTGCCTTTGTAAATTCTTTAAGGCTACAATAGCCTTTCAATGGTGTCTAAAATAAGTTATCACATATCTTTCTCTCGCTGATGAGTGAACTTGAAGATTCTTCAAACCTGTGAGAGCAAATTATATACGTATAAAATACTTAAAAAAAAAAAAAAAAAAAAGCCTGCGTACTGAGTACCACTTGATAAATTCTCACCTCCAACTTTAACTTTTTTTTTTTTTTTGGCAGTAGATCCTCCAATTTCAACTTGATGGAAACCTAATTCAACAATGATACGTTCACTTCACCAATTTGAGTTTAGAATTCGAGTTTTACTACAGTAAAAAGCTCTCATAAACAATCACATCTAACTTTTTTGCTACAGTAAAAAACTCTCACATAAAATCACATCTCAACTCAAATTACAAATTCAAATCAGCGAAGTGAATAGACATAGTCCAGCCTTGGCCGCATTCTATACCACGAGTCCAAAGGCTCACAAATCATAACGCTCCTTGCCAGCAGTTTTTTTATTTTTTTATTTTTTTATTTAGTAAATGAGATAAATACTTCGACTGAAGTCTCCGCTTTTAATCTTTATTTTTTATTAATATTATTTTTAATTAGATAACTATATTAGTTAAAATAATAATCTAAATCTATAAACTCTATTGTAAGATTAGCAATTTTGTCTCTCTCTTTTTAATTTATTTTTTCGTGGCTAGATCCTTCCCACTAGGCTTTAACAATAGCACCTGACAATGTCTCGGTTTAGGGTCAATTTTTGTAACCTGCCCACATTATGGAGCGTTTGGTAGATGGATCCAGAAATGATTCTGGATCATGATTCAAAATTTAGTATTTATTTATAGATATTTTGAATCATGATTTTGATTATGATTCAGAAACAATATTTAATTTGGATGATTCTGAATCATAATTTAAAATCTGATGTGATATTTTAAACTAAAATCATTCACGATTCTAAAAGCACCTCATCTTGATTCAAAATGATTCAAAACTATAATTCTGAATCATGATTTTAGAATCATAATTTAAACTTAAAACTATGAATCATGATAATTAGAATCATCCTAAATCTTTATACCAAACACACCCTAAACCCTCTCTCATCAATCAGACAATCACAGCCCACACAGGGTAGATAGAAAACACCATTTTCGAAAGTCAAATCTATCAAACCATGAAGAGAATGACATGCTTGTGTTTAAACTATTTTTACAGACACATAGGCCCCGTTCATTTCGCTAATTCGAGTTTAGAATTTGAATTTTGTTACAGTAAAAAATTCTCACAAATAATCACATCTAATTTTTTTACTACAGTAAAAAACTTTCACATAAAATCACATCTCAACTCGAATTAAAAACTCAAATCAGCGAACTAAACGGGCCCATATATAATTTTTAGTATTTTGCTGAACTATACGACAACACTCCTTGTAGTTGGCTTGCACATTGTTTGACAAGTACATGTGGAAGGGAGTGCAGATTTGTATTTATTTATCTATTTATGTATGGTTCCGGTTTTTTCAATTCAATAATTTATAATCAGCCAGACCCATTTCATGCCTCCAACTCCGTAATTTCCTGCCCAAATACCTGTCTCTCCACCAATCAATAATGATTCCATTTTATATTATATATTACGGTTTATACTTATTCCCATCATTCAAGACGGAGAAAGGTGCAGATAGAACGAGAAGAAAACAAAAAGAAAATGGGAAGACAACTTGAGAAGTCAAAAGTCATAATAGGCAAGTTTCTGTTTTTAAGTTTTCTCTCGTCAGACTCGCAAGAATAGCCAAGGCACATAATGGAAAGTTTTTTTTTTTTTTTTTTTTTTTTTTTTTTTTTTTTTTTTTTTTTTTCTTCTCATCACAAATAAATAAGGAGAAAAGAAGAAAGAAAGATTCAGTTTTTATGCTCTGTTTTTTTCCTTTTTTTTGGTTGGGTTGATTGTCCAACTTCACACGCAAATTGTAGTGTTGGGTGATGGATTTATCATCATCATCACCACCATCGACTTAGAAAAGGGTCCAAAACAGCCACTACCAGCCGCCCACAAACAAAAGTAAACGCTTTTGAAAAAATAATTCATTAATATTTATCAAATTCATTTTCTCTCCATCAACATCATCACCTCATTTCTCTCTCTCTCGTCTCTTTCTCTCTCTCTAGTCTCTTCCTTCTTGGGTCAATGGGTGTTCACTGCGACCCCTTGACAACCCAATAACCTCCTCCCCTCTCCCCCAAAGCGGATTACACATGTCGTCGTCGTTTTCGCTGATGCTGATTCAACTTGTATTCGATACCTGATGATCATGAAAACGACGATGATTAGCCCCACTTGCCTTGCTTTTTTCTTCATCTCCTTCCTTTCTCCTTCTTCTTCATCTCATTAGCCCATGTCTTGTTTCTCTGTCCCCATTTCCCCAATGAAAGATGACAAAAAGATGGTCATGGAACGTGGTGGTCTCGATCATTTTCTCCTTCTTCTTCTTCCTCCTCTTTGCCGTCAACTCCTCTTTCTATTGGTCCTTATCCTTTCTCTGATGCCCACTTTTCTTCAATCCTGCAGCGAATTCGACAGAGATTCTCTCTTGGCCTTCTATAATAATGTCAGTTTTTCTTCTTCTCCTCCTCTGAACTGGTCGAGTTCCATTGATTGCTGTCGATGGGACGGAATCCGTTGCGAGGTCGCCGTTAATGGCCACGACCGAGTGACCCATCTTCTGCTTCCTTCCAGAGGACTCAAAGGCGTCATCTTCCAAAACTTCACGAATCTCACTTACCTCACTCACCTTAATCTCTCCCGAAATTCTCTCTCCGGCTCTCTCCCGTCGGAATTCTTCTCCTCTCTCAATAACCTTAAAGTCCTCGACTTGAGCTATAACAGATTCCATGGCCCATTATCTTCTGTTTCCGACAACAACAGCGTGTTTCAGACGGTCGATTTGTCAAGCAATCTCCTCGAGGGGGAATTCCCGTCGTCGTTGTTCGAGCCCTCGGTGGCTTCTGGGTCTTTAAACAGCTTCAATGTAAGCAACAACAGCTTTTCGGGTTCAATCCCAGTCTCTGCTTTCTGTACTGGTACAGGTACTTCGCAGCTCAGATTATTGGACTTCTCTTCCAACAAATTCATCGGCGAAATTCCACCAGAAATTAAAGGATGTTCGAAGCTCGAGACTTTCCGTGCAGGCTTAAACAATCTCTCCGGACAGATCCCGGACGAATTATACGGCATCGTTTCGCTGGAACATATCTCTCTGCCTGTGAATCGCCTCGCCGGACCAATCGGAGACGGCGTTGTTCAGTTGAGCAAGCTCCGGATTCTTGAGCTCTACTCCAACCAACTTAACGGTTCAATTCCGGAGGATATTGGGAAGCTCGCAAGTTTAGAGAAATTGCTTCTTTACATCAATAACTTCACTGGGTTTATGCCTTCGTCTCTGATGAAGTGCACCAATCTGTCGACACTGAATCTGCGGGTCAACTCTCTGGTGGGCAATCTCTCTGGCTTCGATTTCTCTGCGCTTCAAAGGCTTGCCGTTTTAGACCTCGGAAACAACAACTTCACAGGTGAGATACCCTTGAGCCTTTACACTTGTAAGTCGTTGACAGCAATTAGACTCGCAGCAAATCGGCTAAAAGGTCAGGTCTTGCCCGAGATACTTGATTTGAAATCACTCTCTTTTCTCTCAATCTCCAACAATACCCTTACCAACATTACTGGGGCACTTAACATTCTGAAGAACTGTAAGACTTTGACCACTTTGGTTCTGTCCAAAAACTTCATGAATGAAGCCATGCCTGAGGATGAGAGCATTTCAGACCCTGATGGGTTCCAAAATATTCAAGTTCTTGCCTTGGGTGGTTGCTTATTATCTGGTCGAGTACCCACTTGGCTCGCCAAGCTTAAGAAGCTACAGGTCTTGGATTTGTCTGTTAACCTCATAACTGGGACTATTCCTAGTTGGTTTGATAGTCTTCCGAGCTTGTTCTACGTAGACTTGTCTAGTAATCTCATTTCTGGTGAATTTCCAAAGGAGCTTTGTGGGCTTCCAGCTTTGACGTCGGGACTGTCTGATCAGGTGAACAGGAGTTATCTGGAGTTGCCTATGTTTGTCATGCCCAATAATGCTACGAATCAGCAATATAATCAGCTCTCAAATATTCCACCTGCTATATACTTGGGTAACAACAGCCTCAGGGGCAATATACCAGAGGAGATTGGCCAATTGAAGTTTCTCCATGTGTTGGAACTCAACAACAACAACTTATCTGGCAGCATACCGGATGAAATCTCTAACCTCACTAACTTGGAGAGATTGGACCTATCCAGAAACCATCTAACTGGTGAAATCCCTGCTTCTCTGAAAGGTCTGCACTTCTTGTCTTATTTCAGTGTGGCATACAATGATCTCCAGGGACCAGTGCCATCTGGGGGTCAGTTTGATACCTTTTCCAGCTCCAGCTTTGATGGAAACCCGGGATTGTGTGGTCCTCCAGCTGTGCAACGCTCTTGCTCTCAACCCCCACCTCCAACACACCGAAAAACGTCAAACAAGAAGCTTCTTATTGCCGTTGTTGTTGGGACCTGTTTTGGCGCCGGTTTCATTGTCACCATGCTGCTAGCGCTGTGGATATTATCCACAAGAAGAATACTTCCAAGAGGTGATAGTGACAAGATTGACTTTGACACTATTTCGAGCAACTCTAATGTCACGATTGCTCCTGACATTGACAAGGATGCGAGTGTGGTCATATTGTTCCCGAATAATACCAAGGAAATCAAAGATCTTAGTCTTCCTGAAATCTTGAAGGCGACTGATAATTTCAACCAGGCAAACATCATAGGTTGTGGTGGTTTTGGTTTGGTCTACAAGGCTACTCTAGCAAACGGGACCAAGCTGGCTATTAAGAAGCTCTCAGGAGACTTAGGGCTCATGGAAAGGGAATTCAAAGCGGAAGTTGAAGCTCTTTCCTCAGCTCAACATGAGAACGTGGTTTCTCTTCAAGGCTACTGCGTGCACGATGGATGCCGGTTACTGATATATTCTTACATGGAAAATGGAAGCCTGGATTTTTGGTTGCACGAGAAGCCTGACGGTCCATCACAATTAGACTGGCCAACCCGACTCAAGATCTTGCAAGGAGCAAGCCTTGGGTTGGCTTACATGCATCAAATATGCGAACCACACATCGTTCATCGCGACATCAAGTCCAGCAACATTCTGCTCAATGAAAAGTTCGAAGCCCATGTAGCAGATTTCGGATTGTCCCGGCTGCTTCTGCCTTACCAGACTCATGTCACAACAGAGCTTGTTGGGACCTTGGGTTACATCCCACCGGAATACGGTCAAGCATGGGTGGCCACTTTGAGAGGAGACATGTACAGTTTCGGGGTTGTGATGCTTGAGTTGATAACTGGGAAGAGACCTGTGGAGGTGTTCAAGCCAAGGGTGTCAAGAGAATTGGTTGTCTGGGTTCAGCAGATGAGGAACGAGGGAAAGCAAGACGAAGTCTTCGACCCGCTCTTGAGAGGGAAGGGCTTTGAGGAAGAGATGATTCAGGTACTTGATGTGGCCTGTATGTGTGTCAACCAGAACCCTTTGAAGAGGCCAACCATAAAGGAAGTTGTTGACTGGCTGAAAAATGTAGGCACAACCCGTCAGCACCAAAATATGGATCAGTGAAAAGAAATTCTCTTCAGTCATCCTAAGAACATATGTGTATACTACTTTTGCACAGAAAATATCTGGTTTTAGTTGTGCAGATCATAACTATACCTGTATGTTTTGATGATTATATTATACTGTTTTTTGAGTCTTTTTTCAAGAAACCATAATCGAGTATGTTTTGCTTGGTAAGTACTCGGGAATCTTGTACAGCTTCAATTTCCTCTTATTCTTAAAAAAAAATAATAATAATAATTGTTGACGGTTGGTTTTCCAATATTTTCTCATACAACAATAATAAAGTGTAATCATCACCGATTCATAAAACAGTCTTCTAACTTGTGACTTTCAATTGTGCAAATTCTTGAAGTTCATAATATAGGGTTTGTTCATTTGTATTTTTTGTGTTAAGGTGATTTTAATTTTGATATTAATTTGAGTTAAGGTGATTTAAATTCTGATCTTGATTTAACTTAATGTGTATTTGAGTATGATTTAAGTTGAGATTCTAATTTAAATTTGTGTTGGGACGTATTTGAGAAGTTTCTCAGAGGGACACATCCTATATATAGAAGATAATTAACTTGTTGCTTGAGTAAGTTTCCTCGCAAAAATAATAGCTAGATCAGGAAAAATGTCGTTTTATAATTATACAGCCTAACTATAAAAGACGGGCATATTGCACGTTATCCATCGCTTTGACAACCAAGTATATATATATATATATATATGGTAACTAAATATATATATATATATGGTAACTAAATCAGAGAGGAAAAATAATTAGTTACGTATATAATCCTAAGCAAGGCACGGCTTTTTTCGAAAAAAGTTATGCTCAGGCATTCCAAATATTCCTTTTCTTGTTGGCAAATTCTCAGACATGTGGAGTGCAAAGTAGAAAAAGAAATGAAAAAAATGTTGTGTGAATCGAATTATTGCCACAAGTTTTGTAAACAAACTTTGGTTTCCTAATAACTTTGAGATCATTTCCTTTTGGGATTATTAATTAATAAAGACATGAAAAAAAAAAAACACGCATCTGCATATTAAATGGAAAATCAATATCCTTTTTGGATGAAAAAAAAAAAAAAAAAAAAAAAAAACCTCAGGATTTAAGCACTCAAAATGCAGTAGCAATAGACAGCTGGCCGCATGATATATGTACTCGTGATATGATATATGGGCTTAGTTTGGTAATGCTGTGGATTTTAAAAAAAGTGCTTTTAGCTGTGCTGAAAAAAAAAGTAGCTATTTTAAGAAGCGGCTGAGTGTTTGGTAAATTGTAATTATAGTAGCTGTGCTGGTTCTAAAATCAGTAAATATCATTTGGTAAATTTTAAGGTGAAATTGCTGTGGGTATGTAAAATGACCAAAATAGACATGATATGAAATTTAAATATATATAATTGTTTTTGATATTTAAAAGTACTTGTTTAACTTTAAAAAAAAACATAATGTTATGATTTTAAATTTTTTAACAATAAATTTATGATAATTAATTCTCTTTTTTTCGTTTCTTTATTCATAATATAATTACAACTAAAAATAACATAATGATAAATTGTCAATTTTATTAACGCAACCAAATATCATAATTATCAATTTTAGTGGGGTTCTTTTCAAAAATCTGCAAGAAACTTCTGCAAGTACTTTTTTTAAAATCCACAGCATTACCAAACTAAGCCAATATAAGATGTCATACCAATAAGATATCATAAGAATTACCCTAAAATAAGAAAATCATCAAAATATCATTGTGAAACATTATTTAAATATTAGATTAAATTAATCTTACACATAAAAAAATGTATGACCCTTCAGTAATTTTCATGAAGTCTACTTATAGTTTCTTATAATATTTAATTGTTCTTCTAATGACATGGCATGCATTAGCTAGTAATTTGAAAATGTGACATCAATGTTATTTTTTCTTTTAGTTTAATTGAATTCAAAATTTTAAATACATAAAAACCATTGATTTTAGAGAAAAGTCAAAATAAAATGGAGAGTACAGGAGTGAGAGGAGTGATAGTTTTCCCATAATTATGAGTTTTTAGTTTTTACAATAGCTACTTGTCATTTTTTTACATAACTAGTTGAAATTGCAACACATACGCGCGTGAGGCTGTCTTATGTAGCTAGCGCATAGTGGTGAGCTCACAATTATAATTGGCACTTGTGATGGCCCATGGGATTCCAAGCTTTATCCAACACCTCTCCTCTCTACAAACTTTACTTCTCTATCAGTTTACGTCTCTTCAATCTAGGAGGATATATGGAAAAGGCCAACCATGATTTGCATAAATCTAGAATTTTTTCAAACGGAACACGCACAAATAGCCGGCCGTGCAGGCTAACAACGGCTGATGTGTGAAGTGGATCGATTCTTGCAGGTAAGCTCACAACCTGAAAAGGACATCCAATCACAAAATCCAAAGTAAAATTTCTTTCTTTGACCTGGAAAAATCCATTCTAATACTGAAACTAAGAAATCATTAGAGTTAAAGATACAACAAGAAAGAACATTCACCAACAATTCACTGTACACATAAATCAGTTACATATATTGAGATCAATAAAAGGCAAAAATACCTTTTGAAACGGCGTAATACCCCAAGGAGAAGAAGAAGAAGAAGAATAAGAAGAGCTTTCAACCGCAGATCCGCCGGTCTCAGCCAGCGACGAATGGAGATTTTGGGGACTCCGCCGCCGACAGTCGCAGGGAAGTCCGAGAGAGAGAAGAAAAATAAACGGAGGAAGAGAGCTTTGGCTGAGAGAGCGAAGTTGAGGTTGAGAGAGGCTGAGGGAGGGTGAGGTGAGAGAGCGAGAGTAGGCTGAGAGGCTGAGGCGAGAGAGCACGAGCGGAGGGAGAGGCTGAGAGTTTTCAGGGAGGGGCTGAGGGTGTGCTTGAGGACAAGGAAGAGAATCGGGTTATTTTGGGAATAACCAAAATTTCATTAATGGTTGAGTTTGGATTCCCGGACAATCTAAAATCAGAAGTAGCATGTGAGCTGCTTCTGATTTCAGACTTAAAACAGCTTCCGACTTTTTTAAAAATTTATTTTTATGTGTTTACTAAATACCATTTTCAGCTTTAGTTGAACAAAAAAATGCTTTTAGCTTCCTAGAAGCATTACCAAACAAAGCCATGATTTGACTTTTTAGTTCGAGGAAATTAAAATGAAAAGGACAAAACCACCCTCCTCAAAAATTGTTTTTTTTTTCCTTAAAGGGAGAGAAAAAATAACTAATAAGAAGGTGAAGAAAGGAGAAATGAAGGAGAGAAGAAGAGATGAAGCAACGGGAGCTGACGGCGTTACTGTGCGTGGTTTGGGCGGCGACTCTCCTGTACGGAGAGATGGTCGCCTATTGGCTGCCCTCTCTTTGGGCTTGTTCTTGGCCTCATCTTCTTCGCTCCAATTCCTCGGTAACTCATTTATTTATTTCCCTTTTTTTAATCAAAAATTGATTTTTTTTTATTTGTGTAAAGATCTAGGTTTACTGACTATTTTTAGACGCTTAAACCTCCGGAGATTTTTTCGTTTTTTAATTTATTTATCAAAACTAGCGGAAAATTGAACTCTCGGATTCGAGATAATTGGTTATCGGAGATCTGAAACGGGCAATTTCGGCAATCGCAGTAATGTAGGGATGGAAATTTTAGAGAAAGAAACGTATTTCTTTTTCTTTTCAAAAAAAAAAAAATCTTGACTAATGGGATTTAATTTAATTTAATTTAATTTTATGTGCTATTTTATTCTGTAGTGCCCAATGCCCATATACCTCAGAGGCATTGACTACTTTTGGTTGGTGGCTTGGTGCTATCCACGTATACCAAAAAAAAAATTTTGGCGCACGCGCGTGTATATATATATATATACACACACACACACACACACATATATAGACACAAATATATTTTTTCGGATTGCCATTTCTGTTCCAAATCTTCCATCGTGGGTTGTTGTTGACTTACCCTTTATGCGAACGTGCATTTTCTGAATGATTTTACTTTTATTAACAAGATTTCCTAACATAATAATTGATGTGATATCATTTATTTTTACCTTTATTCATTTTCTTATTTTCACTTGAGTAAATTTTATTAATTTTTATAAGCTCTACGACATTTAAGTTTGGTTGAAAAGTAGACTAGGGATCCTATCTGTCTTGTCCATAACTGTTATGAGCAGTCTGAAGTCTGAACTGTTATGGTTATTCATTCATAATTTCATATCAAGGATCAATTAATCTATGGCAGCAATGTTTAAAGATACACGAGTATAAAAAATACATTATTACATTTCATATACGTATTTTCATGGTTACTAAACTAAGCACTGGTTTAGCTATGCATCTTCAAGTTCTATTATAACATACAAAAAGAAATACAAATAGAAATGTTAATAATACAGATAATTTAATATTTGGAGACAGGGATGCCTTTTACTAATATTGTTACTTGCAAATACAGATAGATGGAACAAAATATCCGGGTGATTACGTGAAAATTGCTGTAATTACAGATCCTCAGGTGAATATATTTCCTGTGCTTTAAAAAAAAATTATACATTCTATTTTTCTTCTGATTCAAAGATTTCCGTTTTTCAACTCTTTAACAGCTCATGGATAGAACATCCCTCAGTCTTGCACCAAAATCACTTGCTTTGGAAATGGCTCAATTCTACACTGATTTATACATGCGCCGAGCATTCGTTGTGTCTATACTGCCTTTCAAGCCTGACGTGATTTTGTATTTAGGTGATTATTTTGATGGAGGCCCTTATTTGTCAGATGAAGAGTAAGTTTATTATCTGTTTTTAGCAGCTACATATTTTCTTACACTGCTGCAAATGTAGTTACTTTTGATTCTGAACTAGTATTTGGTTTTAGCCGTTTGCTTTAGATTGAAAATTTCTAAGCAATTTCTTATGCACTCCATTGGCTGTCATTTTGTGATAAGGACTGCCCTTAAATTTATAGTTTGATTAGATGGCAGGAATTGTTAGACCGTTTCAACCACATTTTTGCTCTGGATTCACAAGGAAGGCATAGAGATATAAAAGTCTACTTCCTATCTGGAAACCATGACATTGGCTATGAAAGTATCGTCACTCATAGGCCGGAGGTAAGTATGTTATTGTAAAATTTTGTTGTAGTATAAAAATGAGGAAGTTAAAGGTTACTAGTTAATAGCATCTTGGCAATTTTCATTCTGTTTTCAATTTGTTTTTCTTGTTTTACTTCAATTCAGGTTGTCAATCGGTATGAAAAGAAGTTTGGGAAGAGAAACTATCGATTTACAGCAGGAAAAGTGGAGTTTATTGCCATTGATGCCCAAACTCTAGATGGTAAAGGAAACAAGCGTGACTGTAGTTATTTAATAATAATAATAAAAAAAACATTGACTTAGAGAATAGATTCTTCGTATTAACGGTGATATATCATCTGCAGCACGTCATCAACAGAATCTGGCTTCGTCACCTTTGGAATTTGTCAAGAATGTCTCCATGGGTATTGAATACTGAATTGTTCTTGTGTTTGGACGTTGTTAACTTTATGCTCAGGATATATAAGTAATTCCCTTGTATGTTTCCTGTTGTTTTAGACGTTCAATCATATCCCAGGGTTTTATTGACCCATATTCCATTGTACCGACAAGATGAGATGTATTGTGGCCCTAATCGTAAATCTCCAGTCATCAACCAGGTATCCATTTTTCTATTCTTGTTTTTAGTTGAGCGGCTTTGATTCTGATTGCTTATAGCTCTGTCAACACTAGAACTCACATGAGTGTGACTTTTTATGCTTTCTTGGTCCAGCGAATCTCGCGCACGGCTGATGGGGAAATAAGGTATGCCACTGTACTATACCCTCTTTTTTCCTTGCTTTCTGAACATACACCTGAAAGTGCATTCACTCGTTGTTCTAGTATGTGATTTTTGTTTTACCGTTTTCTCAAATAAACAGGTACCAAAACTACGTTTCTGACAAGACATCTGACTTCTTACTGGAGTTGATCAAACCTGTAAGTTCTCTCTCCTCCCTATAACCCATTTTGTGCACGAACATGCTGCCCATATACAGACATTGGGTAGAGAACGGACCATACTGACCACTCACATTTTGTGGTGTCGACATGTAATAAAGGAGCATCAACCAAGTTGTTGACGTTTGGGACATTTAATAATGCGCCTATATAGAAGTATCTTTGCGACTATATTTAAGTATCTTTGCGACTTTATAGAAGTATCTTTGCAACTTAGACAATCAATAATAAGTACTTATTTTCAGGTACTCATCTTATCTGGTCATGATCATGATCAGTGTACCATAAATCACGAGTCAACATCCCAGTCGGTAATGGAGGTAAGGACCCACTTTTCTGGTATATGTAACTCTTAATGAGGGCGTGAACTCATTGTTGAACAATACTCTGCAGCACACTGTAGGGACCATAAGTTGGCAACAGGGAAACCTGTACCCATCTTTCATGTTGTTGTCTGCTGGTAATTTTGTACTTCAAAACACATCAAGTCCCGATGAAGCAGTATTAACCCAGTTGTGCTTTCTTCCTACGCAAACTTTCATTTATATATGGTAAATCCCTAAACTAATTTATAAAAATGGTAAAACTTGTGCTTGAGTTGATTTGTTCCTCAAACTTGCGCTGGTTATGCAATATGTCAGGTATATTGTACTATTTGTTTTCACCATTCTTGCCCTGCTGCTTTGGCCAACTAGTAACACAAGTTTTTGGCATCGGTTGAGCGATTTACTGGGGTATGGCAAACAGCTGCTAAGTAGTCTTTTCAGTGCGACGAAAGAGAAAAACGAAGATCTAAACTGCGAGTACGAGATGATGTGGGATGCTGAAGGATCAATGCATTTGGTTAAGAAGTTGAACACTCCTATAGTAACACGTTCAAGTGAAATGAATCCAGAAAGGTCTGGTTTTAGTTGTTAGTTCATATGGTTATGTTCATTAGATTTCGAAATTAGTATCTTATATTTTGCATCTTTGTTTTGTGTGTGTTTTTTTTTGTGTGGCAGGGGTAGTGCTGTAATTCGGCCAACGGCCAGAAAAAATAGTTCCCAAGAGTCGGATATCTCTTTGAGTGTGGAGAATAGTGCAGATATTGGGTCAGATCATATGACGAAATTAGCACCAAGGGCCAGCAAATCATGGAGAAAGATTGTGATCCAGAGATTGTTGCGCACATTCCTAATGCTTTCCATCATTGCTGCGGTGAATGTACCTCTCTACATTATTTTACTTTTCAAGGACTGGATTGACCAATGATCCTAGAGTTGAAGATTTATGATTTCGTTGCTTCAACGTGTTTTCTCTACTTCAGAGAAATATCCTGCTAAACTTAGCATGTGTTAGGAAGTAAAATCAGGTGAATTCCACAGTGATCGTGCATTTTCTTGCAGTAACTGAAATTAAATCTCCTTTTTTTTTTTCTTTTTTTTTGGGTGAAAAAAATGTAAAAGTAAACCGACTTTACTTTCTCCCAACGTAAAGATGACAACACAAACAAAATTTTGAGAGTTTGTTCAATATGAAGCAAGTCTATTCCAGTGAATTACGTGTAGATTCCCACATTCTGTGGTGCCAAGTTCTGTCCAAAAGAATACAGTTTAGAAGCAACTGAAAACGTTCATGGTTCAAGAAATGGATATCATCAATATTCAGTGCGTGGGAAAAGGCTTGTTCGATTGCATTTTTGAGTTATGGTGACTTGAGTGTAGATCTTGAGTTGAATTTAAGTTGTAACTTGAGTTGAAGTTGTAATTTGAGTTTGTGTTTGAATGTGCACATTTGAGTTATGATTTGAATTGAGAATTTATTTTAGTTTGTGTTTGGGTGGGTTAAAATTTGAATTTATATTTAGATAGTATTTTAATAAAAATTCAATGGTAATGAAAAATTTTAATAGGGTATATCGGTGGAATTTTATTCGTCTCTTCGTTGTGAACACAAAAAAAAAATCAGCTCAATCAGAATTAAAACGAAAAAGTTATAGCGTTTTTAAGAATAAAAATATATTATTTATTAATTTGAGTTTGAGTTTGAGTTTAGGAATTTAAGTTGAAAGAGGAATTTGAACTCAGATTTTAACTCTAAATTTAAGTTAAAACTCAAGTTTAAACTCAAATTTTATAAAAGAATATGAACTTCAATAAAGTTATAACATGAGTTATAAATTTTTTTTGAGTTTTGTTCTAAAAGAACAAACCCTACAACTCTGTAGTTAAGTTGGTACAAAAATCTGTGGGGTAGAAGAAATGCAGAAAAAATTCTGTGTAATGCTTTTTAGCGTGTACTTGACCCTATATACCCTTCCAAGTTCTACTTCTGCAAAAATAGAGCATAAAAGTTTTGGCAAACACCACCCATACAATTCAAGTGTAATAATACTCAGGGTGCGTTTGGTAAGGGGATTCATACCCTGATTCGAATCATAGTTCATAATTCGTTACAGTATTTTTTCTCACAAAAAATACACATAAATAAAAAATGATTTTAATCTCATAATTTTAATCCATAAACTAAACGTCTCTTCAATGTTACATGACTATATTTTTTGAGTGCTATACTTAAACGAATTAAGTGTTACACACAAACGAATGATGTTACTTATGTTTGTCCGAGCTAAGCTGGATGCTGGACTTAAAAGACATTTCATGTGGGAAAAGATGAGCCATAGAAGTAGAATGAGTACACGAGTGAAAGAAATGCTAAGAATATTGGTCCACTAAATGGCCTAATCCATAGGCCTTAGTTTAACGCGCTCATTCACAACAGATGTAACGTTATATTACTTCTTTTCACACAGATGCAACCTTCAGATTACACCCATTCATCTAGGTTGCATTTTCTTCCTTGCATCTTTTCATGTGAATCACACGCAATTAAATAAATCGCGTCTTATTGGTGTTGCTTCATCTACAGATATATCCCGCGGTTGTACCATTCCGCTTTTATTGTTGTTTTCAAATATTTTATCATTCCAAATGATTAATAAATTTAAAAACAACCCAAAAATTTTATTTTGAAAATGTTCCAACGCGTTACGCTTGCTTCAACTTTCAATCAATTTGTTCATATCTCGTCCCTTGGGCGAATAGTGGCTTTGCTAATCCAAGTACTCAAGATGTACACAAATTTTCACGTCTCATATATAATCATGGATTGAATGAATATAGATCATGAAAGTCTTCTAGTTTTTCTTTTATATCAAGAATTAATATTATTTAGGAAACGAAACATTGAGCATTTCTCCATAACCAATCACAGTAAACGCTGATAGAAGTAACTATCAAAAAACCATGTATGATAAAAGTGTGAATAACACAAACCATCACATAAAGATATATAGTTTCTTTAAACTTAATGATAACATTTATTATTATTCAAACTTCAAGATGGACAGTCATCAAATAACATTATTATAGACCTGACATATCCAACATTAACATATCATATTACAAAATACAAAGTGGCTGTTAATCAACGCGTTTTAGCTACTAGTCCCCACATTTTCTAAGGGTGATAAACATTTCCTCTCTGCAAGCCCAAAGAAAACAAGGAGAAAAATAAAATAACAAGGTTATTTAAAAAGATTATGCATGATGATTATATCCCATAATATAATAGCAGTAAATTCTCATCAAAGCTACAGAGATCCCTGCATTTCAGCTCCATTTATGTCCATGCTTTTGACAAGGTCCCGGTTGGTGAAAAAGCAAGAGAATTGCGTTCAATAAATCTCTTCTGAGCCACCCCAAAAACCCAACTGGTTTTTCTCCAATCAGGTAAAAAGAGAAGAAGAGTAATAGCAGCCCCAGAAGAAAGAAAACGCAAAAGGAACTTCACCATAACCAACCCGACCGGCGTGATCAGAAGACCAAGTACTCAATAGGAAGAGATCATAATATAAAAAGGATATGAGAGGACAAAGAGGGGACATAATTTTTTTTTTTTTTAATATGTTACAGAAGATAACTGAGTGATTTAGTCATCTCCTTGAATGTACCAGCAAAGAAGCATGGTGGCGCATCGACGGAGAATGTAAATACGAGCGCGTTGCTCTTTTACCAAAGCAGCACATCTCCTTGAGAAGCCATGACCCTTCTTTCTACGTGACTTGTTGCATTGCTGAATCACAACGTCCATGGTTTAATATGGATGAAAAAAGAACCCAAAAAAAAAAAAAGAAAAGAAAATTGTAGCTAACTCACAAGTACAATCAAGCTTGGAAGAGAGAGCCTTGAAGAGGCCTGAGGATTAGATGAGATTAAGAAGTGTATATATAGAGAGAGAATCTAAAAGGTGTAATATTAAGAAAAAGAAAAAATAATAAGAAGTTGGCTGTGTTTTGAAGGGAGGGGGTGAACATGGTCAGGTTCGGAAACTGAGGGATTTGCAGCCTAACTCGGTTTAGCATAGTTTTCAATGAAGTAAATTAAGGGGGAGTGAACGTGGGTTTTTGGAAGTCATAAATGGTATTATAATAATATAATTAGTTTTTGATCCTTGTACCAAGATTAGTTAAATTAAACTAAAGTTCAAGTATTAATATATATAGTTTTAGTTTGGAAGAGATGGATTAGAAAAGTGGCAAAGGTGTGCATGAAAAGAGGAGAGCTGCTTAATCAAGACAAGGCAGTGGATTTGAGTTATGGGAAACAGGCTCCCGGCAATCTGACCTCAGTTTTGAGGGGGACCGTTGGTTTGGTTGGATTCTATCAGGACTCAACACAAACCCCAATGGAAAACTCCTCACTTAAAATAATCCTGCTATATTAATATACATATATATATATATATATATATTGTATGTATATTTCTTAGCCCTCTTGTTTGGTTTGTTTTGATTGATATGAAGAAGGCAAAAAATGCCTGCCAACTGTGTTAGTGAGGAAATCTCCATGTAACATGATCTTAAAATTGCATATCCAGTTTACACTAGAGTAAGTGCTGTCAATATTTGCATCTCTTCTTTATATATAACCTTATCACTATAGAATATGCCTGCATTAGTTTAATAAGATTAGCCAGCTATAATTGAGATTTTCTTTTACATTGTCCTGAGAATCATGACCCCCTTGTAATTAAAAGTTTTCACTCTATAAAGCAACACTCTTCAATTAAACAATTGATGTTGACTGTGTAGAGCTGCTTAAACAATCGATCTTTAATTAAAGTGTTTTTAGTCTTTTTCAATTGAAGTGTTTTAGTGAAAACAAACGAATCTAAAAACGCTTGAGGTGTGCAATTTCTCTTTTAATTTTTCTTTATTTACAGTAAAATTCTGTGTGACAGTTTAAAATGGACGTAGTTCTCATATTTAGAGTGAATCACAATAAATTTCATGCGGGTTTTATTTTATTTTATTACTCTGAGTTATAAAGAATAAAGACGCCTGATTCTTAACAATTTATCTCATTTGTTGGGGCAGAAGGTTCAAATATATTAATTAACAACCATGGTCTGTCGGGGAGTAAGGACAGATAGAGTACAGCCCCTAATCCAATGTCATGTTTTCTTTAAAAACAAATTACATAATCAATTAAACCACAGTTTGCTTCAAGTAAAAGATTAGTCCCGTTAAACAACTTCTTAATGGGATCAAGCCACCAATTGCAGAAGGTCAATTTTTCACTGAAACAAAAATGAAATCTTTTCTGATATGCTATAATATAGATTGTGGAGAATCCCCAAATATTTATAAGCCAAAGATGGCTTTCACATTCAAAGCATCCAAAACTTTCGAATCCAAACATATCTTGAGATAATTTGGAGTGGCAAAATTTTAAGTTTTACCTGTGGTTATCTCAGATTTGATATCAGAATCTTATATATTCCTTTACAAATATTTGGTTTTAGGCTTAGCTGGTCAATGCAGACAAAACTCAATCTCCATAGATACGGTTGTTGCTCAACCAATACATAAATACAAAATAAGAACCAAACTAAACATAAACGATAATCACACTTAAAACTAAAAATTCATATATTTATACTTCTTCCTCATTGTTTATACACTCCAGCTTCAATCAAGGAACTAGAACTCCTATATTTCATTTGATTTTCTTATTTGTTTTTTGTTTGTTTTCTTTCTCACTAAGGTGGATAACTTTGGAGTTTGGAGGATTAGATGCTTGGCCTAATAAGGAGATAACACGTAAGACAAAATAGATTATGTCGATCTTGGAATTACTTTTATAGTGGAACCAAGTAATTGCGGTATTTGTTGTGCATATTCAAATTAATAGGTTTGTTTTCATATCTCATGGTCGGTTGGTCGAATAGTTAAACTAGATTTATCTTCAGGATGATTAATTTAAATCCCAAGTGTGATTAACCAACCAATAATTTCACAAAATCAAAGCTAGTACTGAGGACAAATTAAAGAAAGTAATTAAAGAGTATTACTCAAAAGGTAGGAGGTTTGTATTGATACTAAGCGTTTGCAAACATTCAACTATATCAGCATCCTATTAAGTATAAAAAGTTGCGCAAATAAAATGAAATTGGATGAATATATTGTTTTTAGAAACACATGGAACTGCAAAACTACAAAACTCACAGATAAATAAGTAATCCTATCCATGTAATTGATGAATATCTAACTGTTGATAACTTTTCAATATGTTATCACCAAATTTTATAACATGCTCGTGCAAATTACATAGAGACAAAGACTAATTAGTGAGAGTTTATTGTAAGTAATGAATCTTTGAATATCATAATTCAGAAT